TGTCCCAGGCACACAAATCCTGTCCTCCTGCTCCCCGGCACCGCGGCGAGGCCATGAGGTCTGCTGACCCCACAGCAGCCCCCCAGAGACCTGGATGATGGTTCCCACTGAGACAGATTCATCCAGAGCTCACTCTGGCACACATCCTCCAGGAACAGCATCCTGTCTCAAAAGGGGATTTTTTTAAGACCGAACTCTGTGTTTCAGCAAGGGGGATTTAGGTTGTGGGGGGAGGTCCCCAACCAGCTGAGCCCTTCTCTTCAAAAGCCACGTGCCAGAGGGATGATGATTTTGGCCAGCCCTGGGCATGTGGATGTTGCCCATCCCAGCAAAGCATGGATGATGCTCAGGAGAGCAATGGGAAATGCCAACATTTGGCACTTTCCAGAAGCACTGTTACATCCTGGGTCTGGCACACTCCAAAATCCCGTGCTGGAGAATCACTGCCACATGGCCACAGCTCAGGCCAAGGTCTTGTCATGGCTCCCAGCCACCTCACCAGAGGGATGGCAGAAAAGCCACTGGGAAGCTCCTGCAGCACACAGGAGATGGACCCTGAGGGCAGGTAAGAGCCAATGTGAGTGCAGGAATGTCATGGATAAACAAACACGAGTCACAATTCCTCTTGGAAAAGGGAAAATATTGGGAAAGAAAATCAAATATCACAGTTTTTTGTCAATACTCCCCATGCTAAGGCGGGATGAGAAAAAGTAAGGCATGAGTTTGTAGAAAGAAATTAAAATATTTCAATCACAATGTAAAAATGTATCAATAAAGAGTTGCCCAAATGGGTTGTTTGCCCAAAAGAGGAGGAGGAGGAGGAAAAGGCTCTGCAGCTGTTGCTGCTTAGGGCAGTACTCAGGGCAGCCACTCAGTTCCAAAAGCAGAAACCTTGGGACCCTGTAGTGGCTCCCACAACAAAGGAGACACCCTGTGACACGTCCCTCCAAGCCAAGCAGAGGGGACAACCCACCTCACCCACCCTAGTGATGGGTAAAGAGCAGGGTTTAACCTAAAGCACACCCAAAGTTTATTCTCCAGCCTGATCCACGAGCATCAGAGCTAGAGCAGCACACGCCTGGGAAGGGAAACACTTCTCCCTCCCTCCCTCCCTCTTGGGAGAGAAACACTAAAAACACTTCTGAAAGACCCCATTCCTACAGGCTCTGCACCTTCATTTTCACAGACATGAACATTATCAGCATTATTAACTGTTACCCCAAAGTAGCAACAGCATAAAAACCCTGAAAAAAATCAAATGGAAAAAGATTTTTCTAGGATCAGCCAAGCTCAGCCCTGGTCCCAGCCTCACCACATCCATCCCCATCACATCCACCCCGGCCAGGCTGGGCTCTAGAGCAAAAGAACCATTCAGGAAACAGTGAAGGGAGGAGAAGGAACTGGACAGAGAGCCCCAGTGTGACACCTGGCCTGACAGCAGCGCTGCTACCTGCCTCACCTCCGATGCGGCCGCAAGCTCCTGCCAGGCATCCAGCCCTGGCCAAAAGGATCCAGCACCAAGCAGGAAGGTGTAAAAAGTCCCCAGCACCAACCTCTGAGGAACCACGATAAATAACCTCTGAGTAAACACAGCGGCTGCTCCCCATTCGCCTTCCTGTTTGCTTTCGCAGATCCGGGCTGGGACGTCCACTTCCAGCTGCTGGCCCCATCCCGTCCCGGAGCTCCGGCCGCCACCGGCACCCTCCGCCCGCAGCGCAGCCCCCGAACCGGCCCTGCCACGGGGCACCGTGGGCACAGCCTTCCCAAAGGGGTTTATCCCCCGGGACAGGCACTGATCCTGCGTCCGAGCCCGTTTCTGCTGCCTCTTCCTTCCTGGTCTGTGTTTGTTTTGATTCCCAAAAGAGGAAATCCCAGCTCGTCCATTCCCCATCAGGGAGCCATGCCCCACTCTGTGCCTCAGTTTCCCCTTCTCTCTAGCATGGGAGCTCCTCATCACTCAGACCCCTCTCTCCCTCCCTGCCCAACCAGCCCTGGGGAAAAAAAAAAAAAAAAAAAAAAAAATATCAAGAGAAAAAGAGCCGGGGGAGGGGGGTAATAAAAGGAAACCCAGTTGGGCTGGCGAGGTTTAAAGCGACGCCTGCCTTAAAAAAAGAAGTTGCTAATTTTAACTCTCCAGTGGAAAGAGTGAGAGGTACTTACAGGAGACAGGGTGGCTGCGTCCTTCTCCACGGCTGCTGCGCGCTGGCGGCCGGGAGGAAGCGCCGGACGGAGCCGCCATCCCCGAGCGCTGCCCCGGCCCCCGGGCCCCCGACACCCCGACCGCGGTGCTGGGCGGCAGCTGAAGGGCAGAGGCAGATGCGGAGGCAGGAGGGGCTGCTGAAGCCTGCGGGGGGAAGGGAGCGGCCGGAGCCTGCCAAAAGCAGCGGCCGGGCTGGCTTCCTCCGGCAGCCCAAAGCCGGGGCCGGCCCGTGGCGAGCGGGCGCCGCAGGACCCCCGGGAGGCGTGAGCCAGCTGCTGGGTCAGATGACATTTCTGCGCGGACGTTTCTGACCAAGCTGGCTTTTCCCCAAGGGAAAAGGGCTTTGAAGACACGTTTTTTTTTCCCCCCCGCCGGTGGCAAAATAGCGGATGAGCTCAGAACCCGAAGTGCAGGGCAGTGCCATGACCAGAGAAGGCCACCCGGCTCCACGGGGACTGGAAAGGTGACCTCCAACAGCTCGGCCACATTTCAGCTGCGGCAAACACAGCAGGAACCCACTGCTTTACCAAATTCAGTATTCCACATCCAAAAGGGTCAAGAGTGGGGATTTGGTTTCAGTGTGCCCACTGGCTGGATTTTACAAGCTCTCCCTGGAGATCAGGAGGATCTTGCAAAGAGCCAGGTGCCAGGTGAGGTGGCACACTCACACCTCGAGCACAGTGGGAGCCTGGAAGTTGTGAACTCCAGTTGCCAATGAACCTTCAAGAGAACACAGGCAAGGCCTCAGACAGCAGAGGAACAGACCTGGTGACCCAAGGGCTTTTCCCAAGCAGCTGGAAATCAGCCCCAGGATGCAAAATCTCACCGGGAGCGAAGCAGGATGGCACATCCCTGCATGCAGGGCTGGACACCTGATTTACCGAGCATGGCTGCAGCACGACGACGTGACCATCTTCAGGACACGAAAGAGTCGATTCAATTAAGGTCACAGGCCCTAGAAGAGTCTTCTGTCACAGAAGAAGCTTTGCCTGGTTCACCTCAAACGGGCTGGCCTCAGACAAAATGCCTATTGATCGCAGGCAGCGATGCTGCACGTCCAGGACGCGAGGACGTGGCTTCGCTGGGATCCAACCGCCCGGTGCCGGCCGTCACACGCTTCCGAGGCTGGGTCGATACTGCTCCTCTAATTGCTCAGCTCCTGTCACTCGCACAGCGAAGGGGACAAGTCTTCGAGCAGTCCCCAGAGATGCTTTTCCAAATCCTCCTCCCCGAGCGCACCACTTGCTGAGCTGCTCCTTGGAGCGAGCAGTTCTGCTGTTGCAGCCATCACTAAACTGCTCCTCTCGCTCAAAACTCTGTGCTGGCACCAGTGGCAGCATGAGAGCTTTGAGGGAGGACACTGCCAACCCAAAACCCAAGAATTTGTGTGAAACTGGAAAACAAGGAGCTGTTGTCACTGGTCAGAGCTGGCAGAGTTGGGCAGATGAGGGGGAGAAGGCATGACCGAGAGATCCTGCCACCGCCCACCTGCATCCGGGCCGGGGCACGGAACGGGCACTGTCCATGGGCACCGCGGTGTTTGGGAGCCAGGGAGGGTCCTGCCCTCCGTGCACACCCCACAGCAGACAGACCCACTGCCCCAACACTCCAAGTAATCACTCACCACACCGAAACATGTGCCCCTGAGGCAGTACTTGTTTGTGCCCAGAAGAGTGGGTCGGAGCTGGTCCCAGAGCACTCAGCTCAGCCACAGCAGGACAGACCCAGCCAAGCCCTCAAACCCTCCTGTGCCCTGGGCACACCATGGCCCATCGCTGGCACACACCAAGCACCACTGACACACAGCAGGGCCCTGCTGCTGCACTCCCCTGACCCAGCCTGGGGAGCTGCTCTTGGTTTCTATGAGCAGATTAAGCCCTTGGTGCTGACCTTGCAGAGGACGCAGTGATGCTGCCCCCATCTCCTATCACCAGGTCTCCAAATAAATTACCTGCCCCCTCTCCAGCACTAAAAGTCATCACAACCCCACAAAACTGCTCACTAAGCAGTCGTGACAGAGCCCCCTCCGTTCAGGAGCTGGGGGCATATTATTTTTAAAAATCTTTCCTTTTATTGATTTCACTCTCAGGTACAGAAGATGCATTTCATGAAACCATAGAGCCCTCATAAACCAGCCCGCAGTGGTGTCTGTACCACAACCTCACTGCAGACACAGGAGACACAAACATTTACTGTAAGAGCAATAAACAGGCCAAGAAGGTTGAAAAGGAAGAAAACCTGGACATGAGGCCCTCTCCCAGCAGCACCTTATTTTAGAGGAATTCAAGGGACAAAATAACAGCAGGTTTGGCCACAAGTCTTGCCCACACGGAAGAAAACAGGGCAGGAAAACCCTCCTTTGCACTGATACATGGGGCTGTGTTGCAAAACACCCAAAGAGCCCCAAATCAGTGCTGTGGCTACGGCTGGGAGCTATCAGAGCTGTGCCAGCTGGGGACGTGAAGGGGAAGACGGGCACTGGAGAACAGAAGCAGCACCCACTGCTGGGCACCACCTCCCTGCCCTGCTCTGGGGGTTCTGCTGCCCACCCCACACAGCAGGACCCCCTTTGCAGAGCAGGTGAGGGGTGCACAGTGCAGCAGGGCGCTCCCTGTGCCCTTCCTGCAGCAGACCTCACTGGGCTGCAGGGTCTGGTCAGCACCACTGTGGGAGCCTGAGACCCTTGAGCTGCACCCTCTGTGGGACCCTCTGCAGCTCCCAGCCTGCAGCAGGGGAGACACAAACGGCCAAGCAAACCCAAAGGGAAGGCAGGAACCCAGAGTTTGGGATTTCCCCATACCTGCTACGCAGCCTCCTGCATCTTCTGCTCCTGGCAGGGATGAGCTGCAGCCACCGCTCCTCAATCCAACTGCAAAGACAAAGCAAGCAGCCATCAGCCTGAGAGGACAGAGGCGGGGACAGAGGCAAGGACAGGACTCCCCACATGTCCCATCCAAGCACAGCCAGATGGAGGGAACAGCGAGGGGAGCCCAGTATCCCCTGCAGACCTGGCTGATGGGCCAGGGGCTGCAGGGTCCCCTCCTGCACTGCCCTTATCCTTAGCATCACTGCAAGGGCCATGCAGGCTGGGTGGGACCCGGCCAGGCACCTGCAGGGATCCAGAGAACCAGGAACCCTGGGGCTATGCAATGTGGAAAGCACCTCGGTGAGAACAGGGGGAAAGAAATTAAAAAGAGTTAAGGAATGAAACAAATCATAAACCAAAAGTTAACATTGTGGCCCAAGCTGACAGCGTGGCCAGCAGAGAATTACTCAAAGTTTAGGTGATCTTTGTGTTTTCTGGGAAGATTCTCATGCATATCCCACTGAAAAAAAGCACTGACCAGCTTGCTCAGACACTGTCCCAGGGAATGCATGCAGCACATGTGCTTGGCCCAAGGAGAATCTGCCACGGCCCAGAAGGAAACGCAGCTCCTAAACTCATCCCACTCACCACTGGGAGATGGGAGGAGACCCATGGGGCAAAGCCCAGCGGCTTCAGCTGGCCTTGTGCTGGTCATCTACTGCTGGTCACAAACATCTGGCACTTGTGCAGAGCCCATCACCACAGCACACTCCCATGAGGGGAACGGTGCTGAACAAAAGGGAAACTGAGGCACAGAGGCCAGCACCCTCTCTTCAAACGCACCGCGAGCTCCCAAGCTGCAGCCTCACCCCCAGCACCTGCAACAGAGCGAGGAATTGTGCTCAGCTTTCCGGCATCCTCATCCTCCGCTCCAACCACAAAACCAGCCTTCCTCCCCCGGCTGCCTCCCCTCCCACAGCCAGCTCATTTCCTGACATTACCAAATTCCCCCTGAACAAAGCTGGAGCGAGGAGCGCGTGGCTCCGGCCGGGGCTGCCCCTTCCTCTCGCTCCGGAGGAGCCGAGCGCAGGGATCAGCCCTGAACAGCCGAGGTGTGAGCGGCTCTCCAGCCTCAAACCTCCCAGCATTGGGGCTGGAGTCCTGCAAACGGACCAGGCACAGGGATCCCCTCATCAGGACAGACAGACGAGTCTGTTTTCTACAACAGGGAGGGGCAGGGACAAGGATGGGGGTCCAGCTACTGCCACGCTCACACCCGTTAAGCCCAGACCAACCTGGCACCCCCCCAGGACCACTCCTTTATTCCCCTGAATAAAACAGAGTCCTGCAGAATGACTGACCTCTTGGGGACAGGGACACCCACAGAAGAAGCACCACCCTGCAAGTGCCACGCTCCCAGCCAGGACGAGGGAAGTGGTGTTTAATGCAAAGGGTCTCTCAGAGGGCTCCTGAAACTCCTCTCAGCGTCCCAGCAGCTCTCACTGGTCCAGCACTGCAGAGCCACTTAGGGCTGGTGGCAGAGCCACATCAGGACCGGGGACCACAGGCTCCTGAAGCTCCTCTCAGCGTCCCAGCAGCTCTCACTGGTCCAGCACTGCAGAGCCATGCAGAGCTGGTGGCAGAGCCACATCAGGACTGGGGACCACAGGCTCCTGAAGCTCCTCTCAGCGTCCCAGCAGCTCTCACTGGTCCAGCACTGCAGAGCCATGCAGAGCTGGTGGCAGAGCCACGTGGGGACCAGGGACCACAGGCTAGGCTGAGTGGAGGATGTGGCCGAGCTCTGCGCTCAAGCTGGCTCTGCTTTGGGGGACTGGGGTCAGCTCTACAGCCCACTAGGATGCAGTGGGGGACGTGTGGCCAGGCAAGACCTCAGTCTGTACAGAGTTGTTTCCTCTCAGTGGGAGATGGTGCCAGACACACCAGGAATGTCCAGGATGCCCATGGTGCCATGGGACAGCCGGTACAGCCACACAGTCACCACTCACAGACTCCTGCACTGACAGAACTGCCCACGGCTGGGGGTGGGCAGCAGCCACATCCCTGGCTCCCACAGCCCACCAGGCCATCAGGACAATGACTTCTGGACAATAGCTGACCCCACACAGCCCCTGGGCATGCCACAGTCCCCAGATGGTGACAACTAACAGCAGTGCCTTGCCGACCCAATGTGGCAGATGAGCTGCCCCTTGTAGGGCCAAGGTGGGGAACTCCAGGGGGAGCAGGGTTGGTTTTGGGGTGTTCAGCCTGCAGGCAGTTCTGACATTGCAGAGTTGCAGCCCAGTGTCACCTGAGGCAGGGATGAACAGCACACGTGGGGTGACAATCCTGGGACCCTGACCCTCTCCAGCCCAGCAGCTCTGGGGCTGCTTCACACCCTGCCCAAGCTGCAGAATCCACTGCCCTTTGGACCTGGTGGGACTTCCAGCACCAGCAAACCCCAGTGAACCCCCAAGTGCCCATTTTGCAACATTTTGAGCTGGTACAAAGGAGCAAAGCCCCCACTCACTGGCACTGCCAGCTCCCTTGTCTGTCCATGCTCGTCCTTTGCCCCGCCGAGCGAGTATCCTGGCACTGCTCCCAGAACCTCTGGAGGATTTCCAAAGGTGACCATTCCACCTGCACAGTGAGAACAGGCCCTGCTGAGGGGCTGGGGCTGGGTCAGGCCACTGGCCACTCCCAGGGCTCTCACCCCACCACACACGTGCCTTCAAAACCTTCTCATTATAAACAGAGAAATGCTGCCCAGGCAAGGGGAAAAGGAATGTGTTTTCAAAATGTTATTTTATAAGCTGAGGGGAAAAAACACATAGGGAAGGGACGGAGGTGGCAAAGGCAAGTGAATTCCCCTTTCTGAGTGAAAAAAGAAGGGCAGAGAAAGGGGTAGACAAGACAATCTTTATGTCCAGCTTTGGGGCAAAAATGCTGAGCAGGTGCTAACACTGTCCCTGTTTGAAAACCAAAGCTTTGGCTTCACCAGTAACCAACCAAAATTCCTGAGGGCAGGAGAACTAGGGGAACCTCCTGGGATCCCCATTTTTAACTGATGCAGTTAGGCTGGCACAACCTGCCATGCAAAGGCAGCAGGGAGCTGCTCCAACCTGCCCCTAAGGATCCTGGAGGATGTGCAGGAATGGCTTTTGGTGACTTCCCTGGATATCTGCTCAGCTGATGCTCAACAGCCCCTGTGCCACAGCCAGTCTTTGCTTACACCCTCAAACACATATATATTCCCACATATATAACTCCCCAAAATATATATATATTCCCATACACATAGCCCTCTCAAAATACACATATTCCCACATATGTAACCCATCAATATATATATATTCCCATACATGAAACCCACCAAATATATATATATATATATTCCCACATGTACAGATAAACCCCCAAATACATATTTATTCCCATGTATAGAAATTCCAAATACATACAACCCTGCCTACATCATATATACATAAAACACCCCCAAATAAATAACCCATGGCCACTGCCATGGGGACTTCCAAGCACACAGCTGGAAAGCCCAGGGGAGATGGATGGGCAGAATAAGCAGTTTTGGGGCTGGAGGGGCCAAGAGGGAGGCGCAGATTGCGGAGGGGAAGAGCCCTGACCGCAATCTCTCCTTCCCCTTTTTTCATGTTTCCTCTAGCAACGGGCTCGGGGCTGCAAACATTTGGATGCCAAACCCAAACTTCCTCACCTCAGGCTCCCAACCCAGCCCGCTGCTACTCTGCCAGGTGCTCATGGACTCCCACCCCAAACTAGGGAGACCCCAGACCCCATTTCCCAGAGCTGTGCCGTGTCAGTCTCAGGGAGTGCCAATAACAGCAAGGAGCAAAACCCACCAAATTAAAAAAAAAAAAAAAAAAAGAAAGAAAGAAAAAGAAAAAAGAAAAAAGAAAAAAGAAGTACTTTCTCCATTTTTCTCCATTTCCCCAGTCCATGAAACTAAAGCATCTCAGCCATGGCCCAGCCTCCAGTTTGCACCAGCCACTGGGAATATCCCCAAGGTTTAATTAGACCTGTTCAGCCTTTTCCAGTTGGGTTTCCTCTAGCTTGACACCAAGAGGTGGGAAGGAACAAACTGGGAGAGATGTCACTCCAAGCAGGAGCATCAGGCAGGACAGGCTGGCAGTTACACACAGTGAGGAGCCCCAGCTCCCAACCATCCAGAGTGGTTCCAGAGTCCCAGCAGCACAGCACCAGGGCTGTGGAAAGGGGGACAGGAGGAGGAAATCCACCTCCAGTGGCACGGGAGGCTCAGCTGTCGTGGTGCAGAGGTGAGCAGTGACCAAGAACGATGGCACAAGCCAGCTGTGCCAGGGGCACATGCAGAGCGTGACCACCGCCTCCAAACCCCGCAGAGGGATGGCATGAAGGTACCCCAGATCAAGGCAGGGTAGGAACTGTGGGGGCTCACACCCCTGCTCCAGCAGGTCACCCTGCACGGCACCAAACGCAGCCCTGGATTTGGGCAGGGCAGCTGGAAGCCGCTCTCCAGGAGCAGCCCAGTGGCGCAGCTGTCACTGCAAGTGTTGCAACAGCGGCTGCTGGCCCTGCAAGGACCGCGGGGACATGAGGGGGCGTCGGGGGGGTGGCACAAGTGCAACCGTTGGAGCCACCGAGTTTCACTCTCGCTGGCTGAGTTCCCCTTGGGCAGCAGAGATGCAGAACTGAAACCTCCAGCTGTATGGACGTGGGGGCGGCCCGAGGCGCGGGAGGGCTGGGGAGCGGCACGGCGCTCGGAGCAGAGCCACGCGCCGCCACACCAGTGACCGAAGGCTGCTGGGGGACCAGGCCAAGCAGAAGAAGAGCAGAGGCAAGCAGGGGTTTCCTCTGGCTCACAGAGCCCATCTTGCTCCTGCTCTCTCTGCACAGCTGGGCCACCCAGCTCCTCGCAGCTGGCACATCTGGCGGGAGCAGAAATACCCCTGGGCGTGCAGATACCCACAGCTGGGCACGCTCCAGCTGGCATGTCCCCACTCCACGAGCCCGTCCAGGGGCTGACATTGCTGAAGGACAGTGCAGTCCCAGTCCACTGGGCAAGTGCTGGTCAGCAGGACCACAAGTGGCTGCATGGAGTGGTCCCAGCACCAGCAGCATCTCTTAATGCAGGGAAACTGAGGCACAGAGAGGTGAAGTGAACCACAGAGCTGGACACACAAGCATCCCCCAAATCCCAAATTTCCTCTCCCTGAGCAAGCCACTCACCTCCTTCCTTGTTCCAACCTGCTGACACAGCAGCACAAGGAAGACCCCAAAACTGACCCCAGAACCCCCAAGGACATCATGGGAGCACCTATAAGAGCACAGCAATACCAAGATGTGGGTGCCCTGTACCCCAAGCACCCGGTGTTTGCCCTCACCCTGGTGACAGTGACAAAACTTCAGGCCACATTGCCACCTGCTGGCACCAGCCCTGGGGGCCAAGAGCGCTGGTACCTTCCTTGATGGGGACAGCAAGTGGCTCTGTGCTGGGTATCAGGTCTGAGTACAATGGGCCACTGCCATATCCAACTGGAGCAACTGAACTCATTTCATCCAGCTTCATGGCAACCTGGGACAGTGCATCTGCAACCCAGACCCATCCTAGAGGTGCCCAGAGGGGCTGTGGGTGCCCCCACCCTGTTCACACACCCCATACTCCCTGGAGCACCAGTGAAAGTGCTGCTCCAGGAGACTTCACGGCAGCAGGGAGAGCTGCTCCAGGTCTGCAGTTCCGGCTCCTGCTGGCATTTCCAAGGCAGAGGTAAAGCAGAGATGGCGCCATCAATTGTTTTGCCCCCCAGACTCTCTGCAAGCCGTCCTGATGCCCCAACAACCTCTCCTGTCTGCTGCTGCCTCTCCCCAG